AAAAAAAAAATAAATAAAAAAAAAAAATTGATAAGTAACTCAAGATAGATCTATATGTTACATAAATTCGAAATACATTTCAAATATAGTAATAAAGAAAATGTCAGTCAGCGAAAAGTAAACTTGTTTTGATTTTCTATATAAATCAGCAGTTAATTGTTTTCGGTGAATTGCAAAATTGTTAAAGATTTTATGAAGGACGTAGGCCTAGACACGTTACTTGATAAGAACATTCTGAGCATTAAAACGCCCGTATATGAATAAATTAAACCGTTTCGTATTTTTCACTGCGCATGTCGAAAGTGTGTGCCCATATTGATCTTATCTGAAATTTGAAGTTTTTATTTTCTTTGGGCGTATTCGACTGGTTCATTTCGTTGACTACGATTTTTCGTTGAGTATTATTTTCATTCGACTGGTGGTTTCGTAAAATAGACTTCGTTGACAACGAAAATTAACGTAAACATGCGTTAATCAGCTTTAAGTTATCCAAGTGACCAGAACAAACATGGCCGATTTGGTGAGTTTAGAAACAACATTTGTTAATATAATTTAGATTAAATTTCAGAAAATAAAAATTATAATATTATATTTACCCATATGAAGTCAAAAAATAATTGTAGAATTTAAAAACCGGATGAAAATATTTTTTTTTACGACAAGCCCATAGTGCCACAAGCTAAAGCAATCTTGATTACGCAGCGTGTATCGCGATTACTATGGAGCCATTTTGTTTTGTCGAGTATTTAACAAGTTTTCTATTCGACTGGTCGTCTTCGTTAAGTTGGATTCTATTCCCTCTCCCCCGGATCCAGTGTTTCCATGAGATGCGCGCATGCGTATCGACGATCAGCCGTACGTGTTTTTCGACGATCGACGTACTTTCGAATCAGTCTAGGGTCTAGGCCTATTTCTTCCAGTTAACAGTTTGTATATTTTTCAGTATAAAGTCATGTCACTGTCAGAGGACAATGATGAGAATAACGGGGACTTGATTGGTCCCATTTTGGGAGGTATGAATACGCTAGCTAGTACCTCAAAAGTCAGTAGCGAGCCTAGGCCTGGAATTTTGGCTAGGTCTAAGCCTGCGACGACCGCATGCGCCGTTGACCCGAAGGTCAAGTCATCCGATGATGAGATGGCGTCAGTTATGCAAATGCTTCGACAGCAAGCGGTGATTATGCAAGCTTTGGTGAAAAACCAGAACAATATTTTATCCAAGGATCAACGGTGTAATAA